AGAGCATTTTGTTTATTTTCTCTTGGATTTCCCCGTTTTCTATTTTTTGGATAGTTTTTTTGGTAAATTGAACCATCTGTTCCGCCCTCCCGTTCGCCGCCGGATGTGCCGCCGCTGTCAACGCATGTCTTATCCCCCGCTCCGCTAGGAATTTTTCGAATTCCAGCGAGGTAAATTGGGGCCCGTTGTCGGATACGAGGACGTCTGGGAGGCCGTGGGTTGCGAATAATTTGCTGAGTTCTTTGGTGACGGCCTCCGTGGTAGTAGTTCTCATGTTGCTTACCTCCAACCAGTTGGAGTAAGCGTCTACCGTGATGAGGAAGGTGTGGCCTTTTGTGGGCCTGGCAAAATCTATGTGGATCCTGGACCATGGTCCCCTAGGGGTTTCCCATTCCAGGATTGGGGCGGCGGGAGGGCTGGGTCTGGTTTCCTGGCACCTGCTGCACGCTGCCACCCAGGCCTCGATTTGTTTGTCCATCCCTGGCCACCAGGCGTAACTTCTGGCCAAGGCCTTTGTCCTAACGATGCCTGGGTGTCCCTCATGCAATAATTCCAAAACCTTTCCCTGTAATTTTTCCGGAATAACAACCCGGTCCCGCCAAAGTAAACAACCTTTTTGCAATGACAGTTCTGTTTGTCGGTTTCGGAATGTTCTGAAGTTTCCGTCGTCGTCCCTTTCGGGCCACCCAATGCAATACCCGCGCCATACATTTGGCTTTATTAGTTTCCCGGGCAATGTCTGACGCGGTTATGGGTAGATCGGGCAGAGTCTCTATGCTGAGGGTGGTCGTCGTGGGTGCTGGGTCAGTGTCAAAGTCTGGTAGCGGCGTGCAACTCAGGGCGTCTGCGTGGGTGATTGTCTTACCGGGTCGGTGCGTGAGCCAGTAGCTGTAGGCGGCAAGGAATTTGGACCACCTTGTCATTCTAGGGGATAGAATGTTCGGGGTGGCCCTGTTCCCTGCTAGGATTCCCAGCAGCGGCTTGTGGTCGGTGACGATGGTGAAGGTTCGGCCGTAGATGTACTCGTGGAACCTTTTGATGGCGGCAACGATGGCCAGGGCCTCTTTGTCCAGCTGACTGTAGTTCCTTTCCGGTTTGGTGAGGGTTCTTGAGAAGAAAGCGATGGGCACTTCTTTTCCGTCGGGGAGAGTGTGGCTGAGGACGGCGCCGACGCCGAAGGGTGATGCGTCGCATGTGACAGCTAGCGGTAGGGTCTCGTTGTATTGGATGAGGACGGCATCCGAGGTGAGCAGGTCCTTGGTTTTGTTGAAGGCGGCTTCCTCGCGTTTCCCCCAAGTCCACAGAGCCGCCTTGTCCAGGAGCCTATGCAAAGGTTCCGCCGCGGTCGCCTTCTGTGGCAGGAAAACATTGTAAAAATTAAGCAGTCCTAGAAATGCCTGTAGCTCCATTTTATTCTTCGGCCTGGGGGCTTCCTTGATTGCTCTGATTTTTTCCTCGGTTGGGTGAATTCCGTGCCGATCTAAGAGGTACCCCAGGAACTCGACCCTTTCGGTGTGTAATTGGCATTTTTCTTTTTTAACCTTCAGCCCCGCATTTTTGAATTTTGTTAGGACCTCCCTCAGGCGACCCTCTAGCTCTTTTTGGTTGCCGACACCAGTACGTCGTCGAAGTAGGGCACCACCCCCTTGATTCCTTGCAGGAGTCTCTCCATGAGGCTCTGGAATATCCCTGGGGCCACTCTGACTCCAAACTGGAGTCTCTTACAATGGAAAGCCCCCCGGTGGGTTACTATGGTTTGCGCCTCAGCCGTTTCTGCGTCGACCGGTAGCTGCTGATAGGCTTGTGCCAGGTCGAGCTTCGCAAAGACCTTGCCTCCCCCCAGTGAGTGCAGGAGATGCTGCACTACTGGGACGGGGTAGGCGCTTTGCTGCAAGGCGCAATTGAGGGTGGCCTTATAGTCCCCACAGATCCTCACCGACCCATCGGGCTTGACGGGGGTGACTATGGGGGTCTCCCACCGGGCATGGTCGATTGGCTCGAGGACCCCTTGTCTGATGAGCTTGTCTATTTGCTCATCAATCTTTGGCCGGAGTGCGAATGGTACTCGCCGCGGTTTCAGGCGAATTGGGGGAACGCTGGGGTCTAGGCTGAATGAAATAGGGGGCCCTCGGTACTTGCCTAGGGTGCCGTCTAACACTTCCTGGAAGTCCTTCGCGAGTTGTTCCTCCCAGTCGGCCTCCCCAATGTGGTCGATGCCCGTCACCTCGATTCCGAGCGGCGCGAACCACTGAAGTCCCAAAAGGCTACGGCGGTCTCGGTCCACAATCGTCAGGGGGAGCCTTGTTGTACGCCCCTTGAAGGTTACCTCGAACTGGCCTGTCCCGACTACCGGTATGCGATTCCCTTGGTAGTCCTTGATGATTAGGCTTTGGCTTTCCAGCCCTCCTCTGTGGATGGCAGGCACCAGGCGCTTGATTTCCCGCCATGCAACCATGGAGAGGTAGGACCCGGAGTCCACTTCCATCTTGCATGGCTCGCCCTCGATGCCCACCTCCACATATACTTTCCGGGCGTCTGTGCTGGAGGAGTGGCCGATGACGACCGTCTGGTGGGTTTCCTCTCTCCGCCTGTTCCCGCCGTCTCGTCAGCCCCGTCCATCTTGGCTCCATCGGCTTTCGGCTTGGCGGTCTCTGGGCCTGGGGGGGGTGCCATCTCGTCTCCGGTCATTGTCATCCCCCCGCCGGGGACTGTAGTTCTTTTTGAGTCGGCAGACTCGGGCGATGTGGCCTCTCTTGTCGCAGTGCCGGCATATTGCATCGAAGAATCGGCACTCCGATCGAGGGTGGTCGCCTCCGCACCCGGCGCACGGTTGCCCCGACTTACGACCCCGTCGATCACGCCGATCTCGGTCTGTCTGGAGCTGATGCATGTCCTCTTCTCCGTCGGTGGTGTCGGAGGCAGAGTCGAGGTCGCCATGGTGTGTGGTGGTCTCTCGGCGGCTTGCTTCGGAACGCGTCTCAGTTGCCGTGCCTGCCTTGGTGGTCGCATTTCGGCCCCCGGTGTCGGGCCTCCGCATCCGGGCCGCTGACTTCCGGGTTGCCTCGGCTGCGGTGGTGTCTGTGAGGACGTCGGCGAGGGCGATGTCGCCTTTTGCCATCAATTGGCTCTGGAGAACTGGATCTCGGAGTCCCAGGACGATGCGGTCTCGGAGTGCCTCGTCCATGTCCGTGAAGCCACACATGCCTCCGAGATTCCGCAGATCGGCCACGAAATCGCCGATGCTTTCGCCCGCTCGCTAGTCTCGTTGGTAGAAGTCGTGCCGCCGGATAAGGGTGGGCACATCGGGGGCATAGTGGTTCCGGAGGAATGGCTCGAGATCGGCCCAGTCCATTGTTTTCACGTCCTCTGGTTTCGCAAGGGCTTTCGCCATTTTAAACACTGCGGGCCCGCAGTGCGTGAGGAAAACCGCTCTTTTCTTCTGCCCGGTTGCATCCTTTAGATTGCTACTTTCGAGGAACATCAGGAATCGGTCGGTGTACGATTCCCAATCCTCAGTAGCCGGGTTAAAAGGTGCGGGCGGTGTGATGCTGGCCATCTCGTCGGTCTCGTTTCCTCTGGACATGTGTACGATGGGGATCAGTTTTGGTATCCCACCTTCGTCGCCAGTGTCGTGTCCGTCGCAAGGAATGAGACTCGGAGCCAGTGACTTGGTTCAGCTCATTTATTAGATCTTTGAGATCGGCTCGGCTTCCGAAAGAAAGCGGCGGCTTTTATTCTTTGGCCGCGGCGGCTGCGGCCAATGGCACCGCTTTGAATCTCCCACGATTAGTTTCCACCAATCGCGGGAGATTCACGGCGGGCCAATCCGGGCGGCTCACTCGGCCAATCAGTTCGCCGCGTGTCTTGTCCAATCGCTGCACGGTTCTACAAGAATGGTAATGACCGTACAGAACAGTATTTCCATGAAGAGATCATTGTACCATGTAGTTAAATTGTTTTGTAAGTTTCCACCATTTCAAAAGAGATTGCTCAAATGAAATAGGAAACTACTGGCTTGATGACTGGGGTCAGGCAGGGAGCTCTAATACCCAAGACACTCTGGGCCTATCATAGCCATAGATGGATGGATGAATAAAATAGATAAGATAGATAGATTTATTGTCCCAAAGATATATTTATTTACTCTGTTGCAAATCAGTTGAAATAAATGCAATGTAAATAATATCCCAAAAGCAGTTGTAAAATTTCTGCTGCATTTAGTATTCTTTTTCAATGAAATACTTACAAGAGGTGAAAACCATACCTGTCCTTCTTAAATTTAAATGTTTGAGCTTGTATATGCATGTATATACATCTAGACAGATAGATATAGATAAGGTAGTGTCACTTTCAGCTGCTGCCTTAACTGCAATTTAGTGCAGCTAGATGCTTTCTTGTCACATGGTTATAGCTAGGTAGATTAATAGGGAGTTCTGTCTGGAAATTTCTTTCCTGTTATTGTTCTCCCTCAGCTGCTGATGGTGAAGTTAATTCTCTTTAGTTTTGTCATGCTCTGAAGCACACATTGCCAAGCTATGATAAGCTTTACAAGGAAAAATGAGCCACAGTGTCCATCAAAGTCTTAAACTTGCATTTTAAACTTTGGCCTGACCTGATGTGCCATTCAAAATGCTTCAAAAGATTATTTTTTAAAGAAAGGTTCAATATGTCCCGAGGCTATCGGTTTTGAGTTAAACTGGGTGAAGTAGAAATATTTTACTCATCAGCTTTGCAGTCACAGAGTTTGCCTCAGCTAGAACAAAACTGCTGAGGCATTTAGAGAAAATTAACCCCCCATCCTGGCAGCCAGATGTGACTGGTTTCTGATGAATGCACATGAGTGGGCTGAAAAATCAAGAGACTGTGAAATTCCTGTCAGGTCCGTACAGTGCAGAATGGGCTATTGACTGCTTTCTATATTTCCCTCCATCATTCTTCTTGAACACTGCCATTAATTTCCTCTCCCACTCTGACTTATTTTTTCCCCTTTCCTCTTTTAGCTCTCTCAGCTGCAAAAGAAGCTGCACAGGCTATTGGTGGAATACTTCAAATTGCATGCCCTCTATAACCAAGCCAAGCTCGGGAAGTTGCAGGCAGCCTCTCATGAGTCTGTTCAGAAAATATTAGCTGTAAAGGTAGGTGTCTGCAGAAAGGAGAAAAGATCATTCTCATCTACAGAATGTAGATTGAAAAGTAAATAATGAGTAGTGTGATGAAGCATTAAAACCATATCCCACCCGAGTTTTGTAAATTTTTAACTTCTTTAATAAACTGGAATTGCATAAAGAATGAATTCAGTGGGAAACACATGATGCCTGGATATACAGTATTTTTAAAAGACAAATGGAACATTGCAATTTAAAAATGATAGTGGTTGCCAAAATATTTCAGAATATGATAAATATATGATAAATTATATTATATTATATTATATTATATTATATTATATTATATTATATTATATTATATTATATTATATTATATTATATTATATTATTACATTTATTATATTATATATTATACAATATATAATATATATATTATATATTATAATATATATATATTATATTGTATATTATTGCTATAGGAAACAATGTTGAGTTTTTTAGTTTTAATTTGTGCCAGTTAGGTTACCTATTTATGTAAAGATAGGTAACAAATAGCATTAACTTACAGGTATACTTCCACTTAGTATAGCTAAGATTAATCATACTTGTCTGGCTTTGGAATAATTTTTTCATGGATTTTCCAGGCATTTTTAGGACTATGTAAATCATTATCAAGTGGGAAGGTAAGTGAAGTCTCCCAAAGATTTCAGCTTACCTTAAAAACCTTCCCAAATCATCTGATGTGCCATACTGAACTTTCAGGAACATACTCATTGCCATGAGTGAAGGACTTCTCTAAATGTTTTGACAAAGATTTATATTTATAGAGATGCCTTTATTTCAGAAAATAGCAATATTTCTTTAAGCCTACATAAGTATGATCACAGAAGCCCAGACCAGCACAATACCCCTGAGAAAGAAAAACAAGAAATCCAAGAAGAAACCAGCATGGCTGCACAAAGATCTCTCTGGAAGATTGAAAGAAAAAAAAAGGACAAGTACAAAAAATGGAAAGAAAGACATACAACTAAGGCAGAATATCAGCAGATAGCCAGAATCTGCAAAGTCGAAGTCAGGATAGCAAAGGCTCAGAACGAACAAAGACTTGCAACAAAAGTTAAAAATAATAAAAAAAGTTTCTTCCAACATATAAATAACAAGAAAAAAATCAAGGAAACAGTCAGTCCACTAAAGAGAGAAAATGGCAAGGAAGTAACAGGAAACATAGAGAAAGCAGAACTGCTTAACTCATTCTTTGCATCGGTCTTCACACAAAAAGAAACTATACCTCAACCCACCAAAAACATAACTGTAAAAGACAGACCAGAAATAAAAGTTAAAATAATCAAAAAAATAGTAAGAGAGCACCTGTCTTATCTTAATGAACACAAATCACTGCGCCTGATGGATTATATCCCAGAGTTTTAAAGGAGCTGGCAGAAGTCATCTCAGAACCACTGCACCATATCTTTCAAAAATCCTGGAGCACCGGGGAACTACCAGAGGACTGGAAAAGAGCTGATGTGGTTCCCATCTTCAAAAAAGGGGGAAAAAACAGACCCAGGAAACTATAGACCAATCAGCCTAACATCAATACCCAGGAAGATACTGAAAAGATAATAAAAAAAACCAATCTGCCAACATCTAGAAACAAGTAAAGTAATAACTAGCAGTCAGCACAGGTTTGTTGAGAACAGATCATGCCAAACCAATCTTATTTCATTCTTCAACATAGTGACTAAATTAGTAGACCAGCAAAATACTGTGGACATAATATATTTAAATTTCAGCAAGGCATTCAACAAAGTAGACCACAACCTACTTCTTAGTAAGCTAGAAAAAAGTGGAACAGATAGCACCACCATTAGATGGACTCGCAACTGGCTGACAAACCGTACTCAATGAGTAGTCCTTAATGGATCTAAGTCTACATAGAGGGAAGTAAGCAGTGGGGTGCCACAAGGTTCCGTCTTAGGCCCAGTACTCTTCAATATCTTTATTAACAACTTAGTTGAGGGAATAGAAGGGGAACTTACCAAATATGCAGATGATACTAAGTTGGCAGGAATAGCTAATACCCAAGAAGATAGGCTCAAGATCCTGATGGATCTTGACAGACTAGAACACTGGGCTGTATCTAACAAAATGAAATTCAATGTAGAGAAAAGTGAAGTCCTACACTTAGGCAAGAAAAACCAAAAGTACACATATAGACTGAGTGAAACCAGGCTCAATAGCAGTAACTGTGAGAGGGATCTTGGAGTCTTAGTGGACAATCAGCTAAATATGAGCCAGCAGTGTGCAGCAGCAGCCAAAAAAGCTAATGCAATCCTAAATTGCATTAACAGAGGGATACAATCGAGATCAAGTGAGGTAGGTACTAACACCACTCTATAAAGCCTTAGTAAGACCACAACTAGAGTACTGCATCCAGTTTTGGTCACCACACTATAAAAAAGATGTTGAAACTCTAGAAAAAGTACAGAGAAGAGCAACCAGGATGATGAGGGGACTGGAGACTAAAACATATGAAGAACGGTTAGAGGAACTGTTGCCTGGCTAGTCTAGTGAAAAGAAGGACCAGGGGAGCCAGGATAGCAGTCTTCCAATATTTGAGGGGCTGCCACAGAGAGGAAGGGGTCAATCTATTTTCTAAAGCGCCTGTAGGCCAGACAAGGAATAATGGATGGAAACTGAACAAGGAGAGATTTAACCTGGAAATAAGGACAAACTTTCTGACAGTGAGAACAATCAACCAATGGAACAGCTTGCCCTTGGAAGTTGTAGGAGCGCCATCACTTGAGACTTTCAATAAGAGATTGGACTGCCATTTGTCAGAAAAGGTGTTGTGTCTCCTGCTTGGGCGGAGATTGGACTAGATGACCTACAAGGTCCCTTCCAATTCTGATTACCTGTTATCTGTTATTTGTTATCTGTTATCTGTACATACTTGTCCTTGAGATTTTGATGGAACTGGAGACATTTCTGGGATAAAATGGAAACAGGAATTTAAAATACTAATGTCCTCTATCCCATATGCCACTTTAAACCAATATGATACTTAACATTCAAACACAGAACAGCATATTTCATACTGAATGACTGTCAATCATCTCTAGTTTTTAATTTCTTCCTCTTATACAAAGTAGCCACAGAAGCAGGACATTCTTTCCTTTGGATAGATTTTCCATTAAAACCAATGTTTAGTTCTCAACAGCCACCCTATTTATTTCCCTTAAAAGGAAAAATCATTTGAAAAATAAATTTTAACAGAAAACTCAGCAAAAAAGAAAGAAAGAAAGAAAAGAAATTAAGAGGCACAGTAAAGTTTTTCCCTAATTTCAGCCACCAGTTTAATTTTGAGTTTTACGTGAAATTGGAGGGAGAAGCTAGTTAGGCCCTAATAATTACAACAAAACGAATAAGCAAAAGTTAGGGCTTTACCCAGGATAGCTTGCATATTCATATCCAGGTATAACATATAACTGACTGGAAATCTATATGTTGTATTAATTAACACAGGGAATTTTCAGTCTCATCCATCACCTCCTCAGGAATGTAAAACCAAGGTTTGCTAAATAAGTTGTTGCTAATGGCTTCCTAAGTCAGGCACTTTCTCATCCAGCCACCCACTCAAATAGTTATACCATCACTAACATAGAAATCATTAAGATATATCTCTTCAACAGATCTTTATTGATTTTAAGGTTAACCTATGCTGTTAATTGTAGGATATTTCTCTATGACTATTAATACAGATAGTTTACTGAATATTTTTATAAATTGAAAATGCTGGTTGTCAAGAATATAATTTGTGATGACTGCTACTGAATTACTTAGTTGAGGAGCACTGGAATAGACAGATATGTTTCCAACTTCCAGTTCAAAAAATATGTTTTACCCTGGTTAATCAGATCAATTTCTGCTGAGAATTGATAGTAACATTCCCCTTATGTTGTATATATTGTAATAAATATTTGATCTCATCTGATTTGAGTCCTTCTCCCATCTCTCTCCTACAAGAGATTACCTATCAGAGCAGCCATGGTGGATTTGGTTGCAAAAGACTAGAAGCAAGATTGAAAAGGGTTGAGATAATTTATCTGCTTTTTAAAATTCCAGACTTCTTTCCAATATTTTCTGAAATATTGCTATTACTTGATTAAACTAGCCAAGATAATATGTTAGGGCAGGGTCCCCAATCCCCAGTCTGTGGACCAGCACCAGTCTGTGGCATGCCAGAAACTGGGCTGCGCAAACAAGTGAAACCCTATGCACTGATTGCAGGTAGCATACAAAACCACAACCCCAGCCTAGGGAGACCCCAGCCTAGTTGAAAATTACAGACCAATCTCCTTATGCTGCATCACCTGTAAAGTCATGGAATCAATTATTAACCAATCCATTATCCTCCACTTAGAGACAAACAACCTACTCTCCAATAAACAATTTGGTTTCAGAAAAAAACTATCCTGTAATCTACAACTCTTATGGACTACACAACCCGATCAGGGCAAAACAATAGACGCAATCTACATAGACTTCTGTAAAGCCTTTGATTCAGTGGTACACGACAAACTACTCCTAAAACTAAAATCTTATGGTATCTCTGGACACCTGCATAACTGGATAGAAGCATTCCTGTCAAACAGACAACAAAAGGTCAAAATTGGGAGTGTCCTATCAAATTCTGTACCTGTCAATAGTGGTGTCCCCCAAGGCAGTGTTCTAGGACCAACTCTCTTCATACTCTACATAAATGACCTCTGTGATCACATTAAGAGCAACTCGTTCTCTTCATTGATGATGTAAAGCTGTTCAATACCACAGACAATACTGCTACCCTTCAAAAAGATCTTGACTATGTAACAGAATGGTCAAACAAATGGCAACTTCAAATCTCAACAAATAAATGCTCTGTCTTACATATTGGCAAAAAAAAATATCAGAAAATAAAATATAAGCTGAATAGTCAAGACCTTGTTGATGGTCCAAGCTCTGTAAAGGACCTTGGAATACTTATCTCTAATGATCTAAGTGCTAGAGCCCACTGTAACTACATAGCCAAAAAGGCATTAAGAGTTGTTAACCTAATCCTACG